CTTTCCCTCTTCCTCCTCGTCCTTCTCCTGATGCCCCCGGGAGGGAAGGAAGGCGGCGAAGCAGGCAGACGAAGCCAGGGAAGCCGCACGCTCGCTTGTGTGTCCTCCCCCCACTTTCCCTCTTCCTCCTCATTCTTCTCCTGATGCCCCCGGGAGGGAAGGAAGGCGGCGAAGCAGGCAGACGAAGGCAGGGAAGCCGCGCGCTCGCTTGTGCGTCCTCTCCCCACTTTCCCTCTTCCTCCTCGTCCTTCTCCTGATGCCCCCGGAAGGGAAGGAAGGCGGCGAGGCAGGCAGACGAAGGCAGGGAAACCGCGGGCTCGCTCGTGCATCCTCCCCCCACTTTCCCTCTTCCTCCTCGTCCTTCTCCTGATGCCCCTGGGAAGGAAGGAAGGTGGCGAGGCAGGCAGACGAAGGCAGGGAAGCCGCGCGCTCGCGCGCCCCCCCCCCCCCCCTTCCCTCCTCGTCCCCCCCCCCCACTTTCCCTCTTCGCTTGCTGCCACCCCCCAAGCCTCCCACTGAGTCGGGCGATCAGCTGTTCGGTGGTTCTAAAATGGCCGCCGGACGCCCACGCAGCGTTTTTGCGCCCTCCCCTCGCTTACCGAGGGCGCGAAAATGGCTGCCGCTATGGAGGAAACTTCGCTGAACAGTAAGTTTAGGACCCATTGGAACGCATTAAACGATGTTTAATGCGTTTCAGTGGGCTTGTACATTCCGTTTAGCGACGATTTCACATAGCGAGGGTTAATCCGGAACGGATTAACCTCGCTATGCGGGGCACCACTGTATATCACAAATTCCTTTATCTGAGGTTTATCCTTGTTTTGGCCTCTAGTCTTAATGTCAGAAAGCAAAAGGAGGAAGGAGTTTGCTGGTCAACTTGAAGAACACTTCCTGATCTGCTGACTTTGAGCTGTTCCTGCCTCCTCTCCACTTGTATGGAAATGTTCATATTGATTTTGTTGCAATATACACATGCAGAACTTTTGTGCAATAGTACATCTACTTTACTGCTTTCGTGGTTAACTCAAGTTTCAATTTGTAAATTGGGTCTAACCACGATTAAAACTTGAACTTTTGAAACAGTATCTTTCCCTGTATACATGGCTGATCCATTTTGCACCATTGCGAACACTACACAGTGGTGCCTCACAGTTCATGTCTGTAACAAGGAGCAGGACTTACTCTCCTTCTCTTTTTCTTTGCACCACAGGAAATATTTAGGGCCCTGCATAAGGAAGTAGTCTATGGAGCTGTCTAGAGGCCCTTTGGAGTGCTGACTATTCCAAGCGTCCCAAAGGCTTTGTTTCTGCAGATTAGAAAAGATAGCGGAAGTGACTGAGGTTGATACTACAAAAACAGCAAAGTGTTCCAAGCGTCCCAAAGGCTTTGTTTCTGCTTAGAAAAGATAGTGGGAGTGACTTAGGTTGATACTACAAAAACAGCAAAGTGTCCTGCTTATATACCACCCCATAGTGCTTAAAGCACTCTTGGGGCAGTTTCCAAGTTAATTATGCAGGCTACACATTGCCCCCCTCAGCAAGCTGGGTACTCATTTTTAGCAGGACTTACTCTCCTTCTCTTTTTCTTTGCACCACAGGAAATATTTAGGGCCCTGCATAAGGAAGTAGTCTATGGAGCTGTCTAGAGGCCCTTTGGAGTGCTGACTATTCCAAGCGTCCCAAAGGCTTTGTTTCTGCAGATTAGAAAAGATAGCGGAAGTGACTGAGGTTGATACTACAAAAACAGCAAAGTGTGCTGCAGGAGCAGTGGCCATTTTGAAACCTCCAATCAGCGATGCAAAAATCTTTGTTTTGCGATAATCGGTTAGTGAAGCAGGTAATCGATCATCACAAAGCGGAAAAACCCATAGGAAACATTGTTTTGTGATCACTTTTGCGATTGCAAAAACTTCTTCGTTATGCGATTTCATCGTTAAACGAAGCGCTTGTCTGGCGAGGCACCACTGTACTGTGTGGAGACATAGGAGAGGGCTTTTGCAGCTGCATCCCCTTGATGATGTTCGGTCTTTGGAGGCTCAATGTGCAACCAGCTTTCATTTCATTTTGGTACCGGGTTAAAATGCAGCTGTTCACCAGAGCCTGCGAGATTTAACCATCTTGGTTTGAATAGATTCTGGATTTATTTATTTTTTGATAATGTGTAGTGTTGCAATGGTTTTAAATTTGCATTTTCAAACCTCCACTGCCTTGTGGCTATATCCACTCATGGAAAAGGTTTCAGGAGTTAACCTCGAGGCAAAATCCGGAGCTGGAGTCCCGAAGGCAGCATGTGTCGTTCTGCCAACTCCTGCGACGTTGCTGGAACCAGTTGTATTGGCTCTTGCCTTTCCATTGGACCATTTCAGCAATGTGGAGAGGGGGGATCTGCTGCTTGGGTAACAGCCTATCCTCCATACTATCTTACCCGGGCTTCATGCTCTGGAGAGGACACGCCTCGATTCAGAGCATGTTACCATAGTCTCTCGAGACTGAAGGATGCCTATATGGTGTTGATTTTGTTTACTATTTTTAGTGTGCTATTTGTTTGATTCTTTTTAATATTTGTGTACTTACTGTTTTTAGCTTTTAAATGTTGTATTTTAATGATGTAAGCTGACTTGGTTCCTTTTTAAGGAGAAAGGCAGGGTAAAATATTCTAAATAAGTAAATAAATGGCTCTGATTGTCTTAATGATTTAAGTTATTTCAAATTTGAAAATAAATTTATGTTTTAAACTATTTAACTGTTGTATTTTGTTCTCATGAAACCCCACCCTAACATCTTCTGGTACTGGGCATGGTATAAGCATTCTACATTTTAAAAATGGTGGTGGTTATTGAACTTACTAGCAAACACCTTGACTTGTCAACTCTGGATGTAAAAGCTGGAAGCAGAGAATTTTTGTTCTACAGGAAAAATATGTGCTGTCCTTCTAACTATACATATCTCTCTGTGCTATTAGCTATGGCTTGGTCATGAATAATGCATTCTGTTTATAACCAGTGAGAATGCAGAGGTGCTGTGGCGTCTGGCACGAGCATCACGGGATCTTGCTCAGCTTAGTCATACTCCTGTGGAGAGGAAGAAGCAGTTGACCTATGAAGCCCTTGATTATGCAGAGAAAGCACTTAAGAAAGACCCGTCATGTTTTAGTGTGCACAAGGTGAATACTTTAACTGAATTTTTGTCATGGCCCATTTCTCAGCATTTGGAAATACAAAGGGGAAATGGTTGCTCATCATCTCTCAGTTTCACTCCTATTGGAGATAAGGCATTACCAGGGCTATTTTGATTTTGGATGAATCAGATGGTCTGTGTTACTTCCAGATAGGTCTTAAAAGTAATTCAACTAACCAATAAGTGCTTCTCCTTACTTCTTTTCTAATTTTTCCTTGAATGATCAAGTGGAGTAACAATATGTCCTTTCCATTTCTTATTATGTGACCAGTCTATTCTAGATTTCTGCATTTTATGTGTTAATGGCAGAACTGCAATAGTAAGTCTCAACTAGAACTGGCCTATTGGATCAACAGAACTTATCAAGGGGTTGACTCACCAAATCCCCACTGAGTCAATGGGCCTGGCTTAGATGCAGTTTATTACTGGATTTCAGCCATGATTTCTTGCCATTAATTGGTTTTAGTGCCTCTTCAATGGTCACACTTGCAATCAAAGAAATTTAACATCCTGTGAGAATCCTCATTTATCCTCATTTAGTTGGTTTGTAATAGGTGCCTGAGTAAAACTCCACAGCTCTGTACCATATAGTAAAACAAAACAAAACACCTAGCACCATAAAGGTAAAAATTCCCCTTGGCAATCTGTCCAGTCGTGTCTGACTCTAGGGGACGGTGCTCATCTCCGTTTCCAACCCATAGAGCTAGCGTTTGTCCGAAGACAATCTTCCGTGGTCACGTGGCCAGCGTGACTAGACACAGAACGCTGTTACCTTGCCACCGTGGTGGTACCTATTTATCTACTTGCATTTTGCATGCTTTCGAACCACTAGGTTGGCGGGAGCTGGGACAAGCGATGGGGGCTCACTCCGTCGCATGGATCCGATTTTACGTCTGCAGGTATTCTGACCTTGCAGCACAGAGGCTTCTGCGGTTTAACTCCCAAAATCAGTTTTAAGTTTTTGTTGAATACAGTAGTGCCTCGACTTATGAACCTAATTGGTTCCGGAACTCCAGTCGTAATTCAACATGGTCTTAAGTCGAAGCACCATTTCCCATAGGAATGTATTGAAATGCAATTAATCCGTTCCGGCCAAAAGGAAAAAAGAAAAGCAAACTGTGCAAGACCCATCGGAAATGCAAAAAAAGCAAAGCAAAAAGCAAACAAACCCTGCAAGACCCATCGGAAATGGGGGGAACACACCAGAATGCAAACAAACCTGCCAAGACCCATCACAGCATAGAAACTTAATCCTACCACCCAGCCCAAAATCAAGCCGCAAAACCCACCCAGAACAGTTTTTAAAAAGTAGAAAGCAGCACCTTACCAGGCAGTCTGAAGCCTCCGATCGTACTGTCTCTTAACTGCTGGGGTGAAAGAGCTACAAAGAAGCAGTCTCTTCGCCACCAACGGTTACCAATTTGAATTCCCTGCCTTTTTTCCCTGCCTTTTTCTGGCTGTAACTCCAAGCTCCGGTCACAAGTAGAAGCAAAATTTTGCAGCCGGAGCTGGTCGTTACTCGAAATGGTCGTGTGTTGGGACGTTCATAAGTTGAGGCACCACTGTATTGTATTCTTCAGTGGGCTGTATGTATGCTCTGGGCTGTATGTATTTAATTGGCTGAAATCCAGTAATAAGTGGCAGCTAGAGCTGGACCACTGAATCAGTGGAACCTGTAGAGGAGTTGACTCACCCAGTCCCTGCTGATTCAATGAGCCTACTGTAGTTGCTACTTATTGGATTTCAGCCATAGAATGGCAATGGTCCCACTGCACATTCAACTAAATTCTAAAGGACTTACATTTGCTAGTACGTTTCAGACTTTCATTTTGGGTGTTTAACTGCATGTCTTGTGCTATTCATTTTTTGCTAGTCACGTTTTTTTTTAAGTCATTTTGGACCATGTTCTTTACTTACTTCATTCACTTCTTTAGTAACCTGTGCAGACCAACTGAACTGTCAGTTAAGTAATACCATATCATCTTAATACTGGATGTTGTTGATAGCCTGCCTGTTGATAAAGGTACTGTATTATGAAATGATTCAGGAAGTGCCTTTCCGGAAATGCTCTTGGAGCACAAAACGAAAACCAGTGACTTGCCATACTCTTCATAATCTTATGTCTTCAGTAATGTGAAATCAACTTCCACAAAAGATTTTTGTTGCCAGTTTAGGTTGCAATATGAGCATCTCTTGAACTTAAACTTCTGGTTACCAGTAATTCCACCAGCTTGTCATGTTGCACTTTCTCAGATCCTTTCTTGTAATCTGTAAAGTAAGCATAAATACACGTGTTCATGAGATGATACATGTTATGTGAAGTACTGCTTCCTGTGTTCTTCTCAATCCAAATTGATTATCTCCTGATCTTTTCCACTTGTAAAATTCTGCCATAGATTATTAGTTTACATCTCTACGTTTGCTATTGCTTTTGGTCATTCCAATGATGCCTCAGTCGGTTTAGATCAAATAACATTTAATATGAACACTTTGAATATAATTTTATTGATGAATTCATGAATCCCTTTTTAATAACAGTATACATGGTTAAATTACTTAGTTTAATTTCTAGGCCTTTCTTTTTTTGTTTTGGAGTTTTTTTGTTTTTTGTTTTTTGTGGGTTTTTTGTTTTGTTTTGTTTTTGCTTTTTGGTAGTTTTAATTTGAATCAAGATGGAGTGAGCCCCCGTTGTTTGTCCCAGCTCCCACCAACCTAGTGGTTCGAAAGCATGCAAAGATGCAACATGCGAGTAGATAAATAGGTGCCACCACGGTGTGAAGGTAACGGCATTCCGTGTCTAGTCGTGCTGGCCACGTGACCACAGAAGATTGTCTTTGGACAAACACTAGCCCTGTGAGTTGGAAACGGAGATGAGCACCGTCCCCTAGAGTTGGACATGATTGGACAAATTGTCAAGGGGAACCTTTCCCTTTCCCTACTATAGCAGCAGGATTATTATCTTTAACAACACATATTTACTTCCTCTGGTTGAGTACGATATACAAATTTTCTTGTATGTTAGAAAAATACAAATTTGGAGAATATAGTCTGTTTGAGTTAACTGGAGCCCTATGAGGTTAAAAAGATGCAGAAACTTGACAGCAGTAACATCCTTAGAAATCAAGGGAAGTATTATTGTCCTGCAAGTAGAACTGTTGTGTGTTTATATACCATAATGGAAAAATTGAAATCAGCCTTTAAATCCCAGTAGATACTTTATCTTTCTTGACAGGAATTGCATATTTTTGTTAAATTTCTCAACATTCTTAAATAATTTTTTTATTTAGTGGTATGGAATTTGTGTGAGTGACGTGGGAGAATACGAAGGAATCAAGAAAAAAATTGCCAATGCTTTTGTTATTAAGGAGCACTTCCAGGTATTTAAAAGATCTCTGCCTTGTGTCTATTTGATGTGGATCTTTTTTGTAGTAGAAACTTGTGTTCGTGGAAAGAACATTATCAGACTTTAGCTGAAGTCCAGTATTTGAACTCAGCAGGAAGATGAAATTGTTCTTTACTCTGTTTGATCTGTGTTTTCTGTCTTTGATGACTGCCGACATCTAGGTATGGAGTATATAATTCATCATGGAGTCTTCATTTTTTTTCTGTTCTTTGTATTTAGACTCCTGTTAGGACTTGCATTTTAGCACTTTTTGGGGGAGGGGAAGTGTTATAATGACTCTCCCTTTACTCATTGGTCTGTTAAAATACTAGAATATGTTCTAATCGTCTTATGTTAAATGTCCTTATTTTCTCTACAGTGCAGTAGACAAAGTGTGACTCCCACAGGCTGTTTTTGTAGCTCTTGTGCCTATCAGACTCCCTCAAGGAAGAACTTGTTTTCTCCAGCAAATAAAGGAGTGCTTTGCCAGTCCAGGAGTCTCTAGTGATTTTAGATATGTAATTGTGCTTCCTCCATTCCCATCAGTATTTCAAAATAGAAATGGATTTTGAGCTGTTTTGGGTTTGGAACAGGAATGAAGCTTTTTGGTGGAGAATTCCAGGGACATGAAATTGGTCCCTGATTTCCCAGAAGTTACCCGTCCCTGCCTTAATGCCTTACTCCCTTTCGTGCATTTTCCTTGTCCTCCTCCTTGCAATCCTCTGAGTAGGACAGGACCCTTGCTTCAAAGCTTAAAAATAGAGGGGATTATCTTCTTGCTTCTTCATATACAGTACTTACATAAAGTGGCACCTAGTTCTGTTCATTTTGGAAAGAAAATTGAAGGCTCATACATACATACATTTGGAAATTTCCTATCTGTATTGTGGTGTAATGGTTTCTAGGATATTTTTAACTTGTTTCTCCTAACTTTCTTCGGGGGGGGGGAATTCCAGGAAAATAATCTCACCACTGTTTAAATTGGGAGACTTTGGTTAGCATTCTGCAAAGTGCTTTTGGAGTATAAGGCCTCGCCAGTGTGGTAATGCAGCACCTGCATCTTGCATGAGTGTCCACAAGTGTCATATTATGAAGGTCTAATTTACCCTTGTACAAGGACAACCTGTGCCTTCTTGCATAAGAAAGAAAAAAAATCAAACCGCTCTTGCTATCTTCTTTGCCTGAGCTGTCAGAAGGATTTTGGTGGGGTCAATATGAAACCAAAACTCTTAGAACATTTCATATTTGTTTTTTTTCTTGACAGAAAGCAATTGAACTAAATCCGAAAGATGCAACATCACTTCACCTTATGGGTATTTGGTAAGAGCTGCTCCAATAAAAAAGAATCATACTTGCACCCCCACTATCTTTTCTTCATTGGTTCTACCACAGCTCCAAGACTTGTAGTATGTTCATATAGAAATAATTTATTGTTTTAGCACTGGCCTATAAAGATAATTATTAAAAGCTCTCAGTGGTATATTGTACTAAGGTATCTAATTCCCTCCTGTGCCTCTATTTTCCTGCTCTAAATGTCCCCCAGAACAATCATTACCCTACCAGGATAATAGGATGATACCTGTTTCCTCAATTCTGATATGGTTCTGGGAAAGAATTTTCACTTGGATCAGGCTGGCTGGTTGTTATTCTTTACTTTCTTTTTTTAGTGTATGATTCTAGCTAGTGGTGACTTGAGGTGTTTGTGGTTTCCTGTATTACAAGTACTTTGTTCCTACCAATGTGTGGCAGTTTGTGTTTTAAAATAAGTTAATCTGTTCTCTGTTGAGTTGGTCCTGGTTTATGGGGTTAGACTAGAATTTTTGGGCTGTCTTCATCACGTCACTTCAGATAAACAACAAGGTTTTTTTAGATTAGTGCACTTCCCTAAAATAAGCAGACAGAATGCGGTGACATTGTCTTTCACTTGTTATAGGTGTTACACATTTGCTGAAATGCCGTGGTATCAGAGCAAAATAGCTGCAATTTTGTTCTCAACACCACCCAGCTCCAGCTATCAAGAGGTATTATGTCGCAATTGCCTTTATGTCAAGTTTTCCTACTATTTTGCGATTTAAATAATGTAAAAGGAAGATTAATTATCTTAAACTGTAAGACTGCAGTGAAGTGGAATATGCCGTACAGACAGAACTTGAGATTTAAAAAAAAAAAAAGAAATTTAACTACATTGGAATTGATCAGCTGCAAACTAAGCCATCATATTAAAAACATGACAATTTAGCCAAAAACAAATCCATTGCTTCAATTGTGCTTCAAACTAAACATATCCTTCTAAAAGCAGTGTCAGATGGTTCGCCCTTTTTCTTCCAAAGGTTTGTGTCTAGCATGGTTGTGTAAAACTTATGGCATTCCCTAATAATTACTAATAATCAAGTAATAATGGGTCCTTCTTGGGAGAAATGCAGCATAGAAATATTTTAAATAAATGAATAAATGAATAAGCAAGCACCATCACTCTTGAGTTTGCCTAAACATTTCTTTTCACACAAACCTCTCATGGTCTTTGTTCCAGGTATGTTTTATTGTTGCTCTTAAAGCTAGTGTTTGATATTCCAGTATAATTGTATTACATTAGATCAGTACTGTTCACCCCTCAGATACCGTTTTTTGTTTGGTTGCTATATACAAGTGTGATAAAATATATTCAGACAAAACATGCCCATCTCACCAGCCACAGTATTTCTAAGCATGCCTAGCAGTTATCTTCTACATTTTTCTGAAGTATTTTATCCATTGCTATCAGATGGATTTGGTTTACTAATTTTTATGTTAACATTTTGCAGGCTTTGAATTACTTTCAGAAGGCTGAAGATGGTAAGTTATGTAGCAGTACAGGAAATGAACTTCACTTGTGCATGGAGAGTTAGAATTTAAAACTAAAGTTCTAATATCTAGTTAGGAACAACACATATGAGGGGCTTTAATATCCATAGTTAACCAAAAAAATACAGAAATATTTGACATAAATGAATTTCTTCATCTTGCAGAAAAAGAACATCTTAGTAGATGCATACTCTCTGGATTTCTTTAAACTGTTTCCTCAGTATGTATTCTTAAGAGATCTCTAATGGAAAAGTTATGTCTATCCCTGTTTATTCTAAGTTTTGTAATAAAGTCAACAATATATGACATTTCACAACACAAAATACACAAACCTGCTCTACGTTGATTACTTGGATGAATACAGTATCAAGGACGATATTCAAAAAGTTGCCTAAAGATATAGTAGAGGCCTGCAATGAACTCTGAAACATCTGTTCAAACTAGCATATAGTTTTGTTTAACTGTATCGAGTAAAGTCAACCAGATCTTTTGTGCTCAGGTGAAATATGTTTAATTGGGCTCAGAAGAAATTCAGAAATTCCCCTAGATGGCAGTTTGCTGAATCTTACAGGGTGTTGCAGTTGGAAGGTTTTCTGAATTGGGCACAAGGACTTGCCATGGGCAAAAACATCTGGTACTGTCAATTAAACCGCCCAGAGTAGACCTTTGGTCTAGATGGGCAGGATAGAAATCCAATAAATAAATAAATAAATTTACATACATCCTGGCCATTCATGGTCCTTCAGCTGCACAGCACACATTAAAATAAATTCTGGGTAGAGATGGGCATGAACCTTGGTTCAGAGTTGATTGTTGTGGGTTTTTCGGGCTCTTTGGCCGTGTTCTGAAGGTTGTTCTTCCTTGGTTCAGAGGTTCGTGCTGGTTCGTAAGTGTGGCAGTACAGGTGAGGCGCATTCCCTTCCCCTGCCTTCCCCAGCCAATGTCCCGCTCACCATCTGGAGCACACTTCTCTTCTTTAGCTGTTCAGCCAGTTTTCAGCAGGAACATAGGCTTGCCTGCCTGCCTTGTCTGAGTGGGTGATCAGCCAAGGAGGCAGGGCAGGGAAGTCCGTGCTCCTTCTGGAGACTGGCCAAATAGCTGAAGAGGAGGTGAGTAGTGCATGCCAGCTGCTTCATTGGGGGAATCCAGCCAGGGACATGTGCGAAGGGAGGTGCCACACTTACAAACTGGCACAAACCTCTAAACTGAGATTTGTGCCCATCTCTAGTTATTTAAAAGTTAGTGTAGGATGGACAGAGTGCTGTCCTCTGAAGATGGCGGCCACAGAGACTGGCAAAACATCAGGAAGAACAACCTTCAGAACACGGCCAAAGAGCCCGAAAAACCCACAACAACTATTAGTGTAGGCTATTTCAGCAATATAACTTCCTATAAAATGTACCTTTCATTTCATTTAAACAAATTTAATGTAGCTTCATCAAGATATTAATATGTTTATTTAAAAATATTGTCTTAATTATTTATTGTGAAAAAGTAGAAAATACCTGCTTCCTTCATCAGAAGCCGAAGTAAAGTGTTGTTTTCCTAGATTCTTAGGGAAATTTGGGTAACTGGTGCAGATTGTGTATGATATAGGGAGTATAATTAAATTTTGTTTGTCATATAACCTTTGCAGAATACTGTAATCAACAGTAATCTGAATTATATTGGTTAAGAATGTAAATTTTTTTAAAAAAAACGAAGAATATAAATCTTTGAGAGTAGAGTTATAAGAAAGTAAAATCTCTTCCTTTTGTTACCGCTTTGTTCAGTTGAGCCAAATTTCTATAGTAAAAACTTGCTGTTCTTGGGAAAGACATATATGAAGTTAAACAACAGAAAGATGGCTCTTCTGTGGTTAACAAAGGCCAAAGAACGGGTGGCACACACAGAGGAGGATAAGCAGGTAAGCCGTCAAGGTTTTGTAAGGCTAACAAATGTTATATAGTGGTGCCTCACTTTACAATTGCCCCACATTATGACGAATCCGCATTACGATGATCTTTTTGCAATCGCAAAACGATGGTCTAAATGGGGGAATTTCGCTTTGCAATGATCAGTTCCCTGCTTCGGGAACTAATTCTTCGCAAAACGACGATTTTCCAACAGCTGATCGGCGTTTTCAAAATGGCCGCTGCGTAAATAAAATGGCACCCTGCTGTGTTTAGGGACGGATTCCTTGCTATACAGGCAGCGAAAATGGCCACCATATGGAGGATCTTCGCTGGACAGTGAGTTTTAAGCCCATTGGAATGCATTGAAAGGTTTTCAGTGCGTTTCAATGGGCTTTTTATTTTCGCTTTAAGATGTTTTCGCTTAACGGCGATTTTCCTGGAACGGATTATCGCCGTTAAGTGAGGCACCACTGTATTCTCTAGATCTTTCACTATATGTTTGAACAAGTTCAGAACTTATTTCTTTTCTCCCATGTTGTTTATATATGAGAAACAAACTAACAAATAAATAACATTACTTCTTAGAAATGTGTTGAGACAGCTTGTGCATGGGTGGAAAATCTCTTAGGTTTGTTAGCATTTTTGTTTGACTGACTACTAGAATATTATACAAATGGCCGCGGCAAGATCCCAGAGACAGGTAGCCACAGAAAATATATAGAATCATTGTGAAATTCATAAGCAAAAAAGGCGAAGAGCTGAAAGCTCTTGTTGTGAAGAATGAAGAGGACAGAAGCAAACTTTCTTTTCTGGGGAAAGTGGAGGTTTCACCATTAGGAGTAGATCTGTTGAGTTGAGCAAGAGGTGTAGGCAATATTTTAACTGTGGTAAGTTGGAAGACAAGGAGGGTCTGGCGTGCTCTGGTCCGTGGGGTCAAGAAGAGTCGGACACAACTAAACAACTAAAAAACAACAAGTTAATGCTCTTTATTGCTTGAACCTTGGAGATGTTTGATGGGTGAATATCTTTAATGGGCTCTAGAAGTATTCATCAGTCATTTCCAGATGTCTATTTAAATAAAATGCTGTGTAAAAATTGTTGTTAACTTGTATTTTAGTACAGTTTGGTACATCATTGAATTTAGTAGAGGTATCAGTGAGTTAGGTGTCTGACTGCAAAGCCAGAGTTTGGGAGTTTAGTTCCCTGCTGTGCTTCCAAGAAGAGCCAGCCTGTGTGGCCTTGGGCAAGCTGCACGCTCCCAGTGGGCCACAGAAGATGGGAATGGTAACCCATTTGAGTCTTGTAACTAACACAGTTATGTCTTCCACTTCTGAGTACTGTCCACCTAGAAAACCCTAAAAAGGGTCGCCATAAGTCATAATATAATTATTATATTGGCTCTGGGATAAACGGTGTAAGTACTATTTCAATATTTATGGCTTATTTTTCTGCTTGACACTAAATTTAAACACTGGCAGGGAGAAGAATAGATGGATTAAAATTTATTTGGCATTTCTTTCCCAAAAAGGAAACACAACTTGTTTGAAAAGCTACAAATATTTATAGACATATTTGGATTATAATTGTAGATGGTTTATTATAGCCATTATTCCCTGAAGCAGAGTATATTATAGCTTTTACTTACAGCAAACCAGTGAGATAGGTCCGACTCATGACCATGGTCACTTAGTGAATTTTACAACTAGACAGATGTTTGAACCCAGATCTCTGCAGTCCAATTCAAGCTACTGTGTCACAAGAGTTCTCTTACAATGTATGGCAGAATCTTTCATACATAGAAATGATGATTTTAGATAAATGTGTATTGGGGCAATTTGCCCATGTAAACTTTATCATATGCATATCATACCATATGCTACCGTTTCCCCAAAAATAAGACCTAACCTGAAAATAAGCTCTAGTATGATTTTTCAGGATGCTCGTAATATAAGGCCTACCCCAAAAGAAAGCCCAGTGAAACTCTGCCTTCCACTATTGCGCAGCAACTAGATGACATGACTGTATTTGAATAAATGTAGATTGTTGTATATGAAAAAAAAACCCTGAAAATAAGTCCTAATGTGTTGGTTTTTTCTTTTTGGTAACAAAAATTAATACAAGACCCTGTCTTATTTTCAGGAAAACACAGTACCATTGATAGAGATTATAGATACATGGGCATTAGCATAGTAATTGTAAAAGGTAAAGGTTCCCCTTGACAATTTTTGTCCAGTTGTGTCCGACTCTAGGGGGTGGCGCTCATCCCCCTCTTCAAGCCATAGAGCCAGCGTTTTGTCCGAAGACAATCTTTCCGTGGTCACATGGCCAGTGTGATTTAGACACGGAACGCTGTTTACCTTCCCACCGAGGTGTGCCCTATTTATCTACTCGCATTTGCATGCTTTCGAACCGCTAGGTTGGCGGGAGCTGGGACAAGCGACGGGTGCTCATTCCGTTGCGTGGATTCGATCTTACGACTGCCGGATCTTCTGACCCTGCAGCATAGGCTTCTGCGGTTTAGCCCACAGCGCCACCACGTCCCTCATAGTAATTGTGCTTGCATGTATTTATTGAGTCAAAGTACATCATCACTCACCCCAAGAAAATAAAAGTTGAGACCAGTATGGCAGTTCGATATCTCCTACTGAATTAGCTGCCCAGTGCTTGTGAACTTACACAAAAATCAGTGTATCTTACTTGTAGTGCCTAATTAAAATACTGTACGCTAATCATGCATTCATTGTTCATTGCCACCTTTCCAACACTTGAACTTCATAATATTTATTTAAAGAGTTTGTGTGTGTGTGTGTGTGTATCCGGGTACAAATATTTTAAATAAATACATTTTTGTTCTTCTAATTTCAGGTACAAAAGGAAACTTTGGAATTACTCAATTCTCTATAACAAGATGACAGAAAGTGTATCATGTGTTTGGTTATGGTCAAAGATCTGAGATCAGAGTAGACCTTTGGTCTAGATGGGCGGGATAGAAATAAAAAAATAAATAAACAAACAAACAGTTATTGATGGCTGCATTTCCAAATAAGAAACTGACATAATTTAGCTTTTGGTATGTACGTCTCTCGATAGAGGGGATCTGTATAATGTTTTTGCAAAAGCTTAGTCAGCTGTCATGTTCACCAAAACAACTTGTCTCGGTTCTTAGTTCCTGCTTTGCTACTTTGAACTGGAGATCTTGCAAGATTTAGCATTTATGAAAAAAACACAATTATCATTTTAGTCTCTTACTCCTCTATTTCATGTTCAGAAGACTCAGTTTTTTCTTTTGAAGGATTCTTGAGATAAGGAATGCATGTGGTGTTCCACATCGTAATTACATGCTGCCAAAACAATTATGACTGATGGCAACCTTGCCACATAGCTGCTGTTAAATTTTGAAGATATTGGTTAGGGAATTAAGATAGTGCTAAGGAGCGAGTACACCATCTGTTAACCCTAATCACCATTTAGAGATACTAGTTGATATGGCAAAGTTAGCTACTGTTTTCTCGGTATCAAAGAGGATAGTATCTTATCTGTTCCAGGACAGCACAGCCTATTCTTACAAACTTGCCTTCTCTTCTTAAAAATGCCTTTCTTTTAGAGCCCTTTGTAAGCAAGTACTCTATGGACCACATTGTTACCCTTCCCCTTTTAGAATTTTATGGGGTACCAGTTATATTTTCTTGAACAATGCAGCTACATTGGAGAAGTCCAGCTGGCCTGGTAAACCAGATATTCTTGTGGCTGTATCATGATGAAATGCTGAAACTTGTTTGTGGATCAAATAAGACTCCTGCAACGAAAAACCAGTAGCTGTTTGATACATAGATATAAGCAAAGTTCTGGCTTGAGGTAAATATTTATCGGATCACTAAAAAATTACAGACATGGTGAGCCTTCCAACTTTGCAGAACTCTTCATCAGGTAGATATCTAGAATTTGGGGCTAGGGGAAGGAGCAGATTTTCAAAAAGATTGGGTCAGATGTTGATCAATGTTCATCATTCCTGAATACAGATTGGGGAATCATCACAATATTAAGGCAAGATCTTTTCATAAAGATCCTGTAGAAAAAGCAAGAGAATGCTAAAAGATTCTACTTTCTTCATATTATAATAAATTAACTCTTAGCTATTTTGCTTAATGCAGCCACTTGTGGTTTCTTGCGTTCTAGAAACTGAAATCAGACTGCATTTTACCTTTTTCATGTTTTGATATAATAGCAAATAGGTGTTTCAGAGTAATGTCCAACTCTTTTCATGTTTTGATATAATAGCAAATAGGAGGTGTTTCAGAGTAATGTCCAACTACAGTACATGCCAGGATTGTTGCTTGCTTAGTAGATGTTGCTAATAGAATCGGGAAGACCTGCTTCCATATCTACTATTCATTTTAGTTGATTTTCGATAGGCAAATAGATTCCTGATTGAAAAAAATACAAACACCAGTCCCTTCCTCTCTGTCTCTTTCTTTGTGAAGCTATATTAAAGTCCTTTTAAGGTAGCGATAGCTGCCAGTACTCCAGATATTCGTTAGATTGCAGCACTCACCTTCCCATACAACTGGCTGTGGCAATAGAGTAGGAGGAGATGACTCACCACATCCTCATTGTTTCAGTGGGCCTGTTGTAGTGTGATAATGTGCTAAGCAACAGGATTTTGTCCAGTGAACATGTTTAGATGGAAAATACATTTGTTTTCCCTTTCTCCCACAGCTACTTCTCTTGAGGGGATAAGAATGTGTGAGTTAAATAATTACTCAAATATGATTTGTGATGCACTGTCTGTCTTTTATTCTTAATTACCAATTTATAGTTAGTTATTGCAATGGTTTGTCCAGTTATTGATTATTCCAGATTGTTTATATTTTATTGGGCATAGTCCTCCCATTTTTCATGAAAATTTAGGCAAACCACTTTTCTTCTTCAGATAGTTTATATGAAAATGTAGTGTAAAAAAATAACACATATAATTCAGATAAATTCCAAGCTTCGTTCCCTACAAGTTCCAGACGACATGTGTACTGTGGAAGGGCAATTTAAGAGAGTAAATCCATCCTGATATGTGTAAGGTAACAAGAGGCTGGAAGCCTGTTAATCAATTCAGTGCCTTTATCAAAGCAGTCACAAGTTAATATCCATGAATAATAGAGTGTAACAATATGTAGAAAAATAAGATTTGGTAAAAGTCAATTGCTATTATTAAGAAAGTGAGAGCAAATATAGCAGCCATACTCTTCTGTTACAGAAATGTTAATTCTAAGAAGTCTGTTCCATGTGTATAGAAAACTGTATAAGTTAAATTTAATGGAATTTACAGTGAATATTGAAAGCATGATACAAATGGTAATTAAAAATGTTATTATAATAAGGAAGCGCAGTTTGCTAAAAGTAGCTTTGAATTCACATCAGTATTGTAGAATTCATTACACATTTGCAGTATGTTGTTTCTCAATACTGCTAAAACAATTTTTAAAAATTCGATATAGTGCATTTATGACAAATAAGCCTTAGCCTATATAAAACAATTTAGAGATACTTAAGAATATCTGGATTTTCCCTTGAATGTATGGGATGAGAATATTGACAATAATAAAATTAGTTCAGTTGTGCAAAGCCTATGTAACTTTCCATTTGGAGTTTTATATTCACAAAAATGAACAATTCACATTACATTTTACTTCCTCCTAAATTTCAAATCAGGTTGCCTATGAAGTTGAAGCTTATTACCAATGTCTTTTGAAGAGCTAAGATACCAGACCAGGACAAAATATATAAGAATTATTTATTTATTTTCTTGAAGATTACCTACTGTTCTCTTGGAAATAACCCAAGATAATATGTAAACAATTTTCAATGCTGCTCAATTAAAATAGTCTGTTCAGCTTCTACAGTAAGTCAGAACAGTGGCACCAATGTCTTAACAATAACATTCATTTAATTGTACATTACTTTTGTGCAAGTAATAGGCTTTACTCATGACTTTGGCTACAGAGATGTAGCAAAGAGGGTTATGAGCTATTACATTTTTTAAAATTAAGCTGACAGAATATCTCATTCTATCACCTCAAAAAGCCAGCAGCATGTTTCTACATAGTAAGGATGTATTTGGCCTAAGCCTTTAACACCTTTTATAACAGCCATGCAGTAAGAATAATCTTGGAGATGTTGCATAAGAAAGAAGAATACAGGGCAGTCTGCACATTTTCTGAACAAAGCCGAGAAAAAAAACGCCTGACTCTTCTGAGTGGCTGTGATATTTTATAAGTTTACAGCTCTATAAAACTAGAGCTCATTGCTGTGTATTTATATACTTTTTTAAAATAAAGTCTTTCTGCTTCAATTTTATTCTGGCCAGTCTCTGAAGGGGAAATAAATAAAGCAAAGAAGGTAAAATTGTTTTGCATATCTTTGTGGAAGAACAGAACAGTCTGAGTTCCAAAAAAAGTCACTGTACAGAAGAAAAGACTTATATACAATTAGCTGTGCAATTTAGTTGCTCTGGTGTGTAAAAAAAAAAAAAACTTGACTTTTATTCTTGTCCAAATCCTTCTGTTTCTTCAATTGCAAAAAGAAGCTTTTCTTTCAGCTGTTCATAACTTTTATAAGGCGGTAAATCCAAACGATTAAAACTACAGAAAGAGAAAAGAAAAAAAAATCAGATTTTGTCTATTTTCTATCTTTAATGATTAAAGACTAATCATGTCTTCAGTATTAACGAAACTGATAATGACACAAGGACCCCAGCTAAGCTGAAAATATGTAGTCTATAGCTTTAGAGTATTACTGATATGGAAAGACAGAGCAGAAGACAGATATGCCCTCAGGTTTGGCACAAAAAAGAAGCAAATATCTGATGGCTGGACCAAAGGTCCTATTTTGATCATGCTGGCGAAATTAAATTTGCAACAGTTCCGAAAGGAAGTATGTTCTCTGCCCCATAATACATCAAATGTTAAACAAATCTCATTCCCTCTTCCCCCACTGCCTTTGTAAAGGGAAACTATTATACAAATCTACTCTAGAAAACATCACTTGTTTAAAATCTTCCCGAGGCCCCACTAAATTACAAACGTCAGAATACTACAGTTCACACCATCATTACTTCTACAGCAAGGCTGTGTCACTACATAGGCTCCATCTATGTTTTCCATTAAAATTCAGCATACTGATGTACTGAAAAACCACTAGTGTGACAAATAGTTGGCTATTAAGGATTGATTTGCACTGCAGAAGAGATACAGTATATTTTATGGGTTTCAGTGAAGAAACAGCACAGTATTATCTGTTCTCTAAGAGTGGCAAAAGTCCTGCTGCTTAGTGACGCCTGCAGAGAAGTAAAATTACTTCAAGTGGCTTTTCACTGGCAATAAGTCTCTGCTGGGATATTCAGGAATGTGCCAAGCCAGAAAGTGGCCACGCACCAGAGAATCCCAGCCTGGACTCATTAATTGCCAGCAAACAACTGTGTGAAGTTATGTCATTTGCCTTTCACTGGCATAACTACACAAAAGGATTTTGGTCATTAGTAAGTTGCTGTTTCTAAGAAATATCACTTGCTCACATTTCTTATGAAATATGCTAAAACTTTCTTTAGCATATTCCAAGCCAATACAGTTTTTCAAGTACTGTAACTACATATCATTGTTAAGTTAGCACTTGGAAAACAAGTCATCTGTGTTCGCCCTAGTTTATAATTAATTAAAGAAAACTATGTATGAACAAAGAGGGTGACATGTATGTATGTTAGGAAGGATAGGATGCAACCTGAGAAATTAAAACACTCTGGACTGGATCCAAAGTAGCAATTAGTAGCATTCTTGCACCAGATAAAAGGATAAGGAGGCAGGCCTTGTGAGTCTGCTCCTCCTTGCAAGTACAGTGGTGCCCCGCATAGCGATGATAATCCGTGCAGCAAAAATCGTCACTATACGGATTCGTCGCTATGCGAAATAAAAAAGCCTACAAACCCCTTCAATGCGTTCCTATGGGTTTAAAACTTACCTTTTAAGCGAAAATCCTCCATACGGCGGCCATTTTAGCTGCCTGGTAAGCGAGGAATCCGTCCCTGTTTTACCTGGTGGCCGATCAGCTGGGGAAAAATCGTTATGCGAAAATTGGTAAGCAAAACAGCTTACCGATCATCGCAAAGTGATTTTCCCCCATAGAAAACATTGTTATGCGATCGCAAAAGTGATCGCAAAAACATCGTCACTATGCGGATTTGTCGTTAAACAGGGTCCCCGTTATGCGAGGCATCACTGTAGCTGTGCCTTCTGCAAATGTAGTCTGAAGAGCTTTCCTGGTGATGCTGAGGCATTTGACTCAAGACTATTTGTAAATGACATTGTTGTTAATGGGTTCAGATCTACTCAGTGGATCCAATCATGTGTCAAGGAGTAGGTATGAATATATACTCTATTAAAACTCACCATGTATGACTTCTTGGTAGCCATGTTTCTTTGCCAACTTTTTCAATGCAGAATTTCTGGGGACCATTACTTCCTACATAAAGATTCATATATTTTTATGTAATGCATTTTATTCCAATAACAGGAAGGAAATTTTGATTTGTAAGTGCTAAATACTTTTACAGAATAAACTACATTGTTATCTTACCCATAAGCTCAGCAAATCCTCCTAGTGGTAATCGGCAGGTACCAGTGACAAACTGCAGTAGTCGCATACGGACTTCATTGTCAGCTTCTTTTATGAACTGATAGAAAAATTGAAAGATGTAGTACTTTGAAATGTCAACTTGTTAAGATCTGGTCTCATCTATGTAACAATTGAACAACTGTTCAAATATGCTAATTCTAAGTGTTTAAAAATCACACTATACATACTATATTTTTGTTAGCAAATTGTGCATCATAGAGCTTTCCATAGCCTGCATGCAATATATTACACAACAAAACTTGTTTTAAAATTCACTATGTTATACTATAATATGATTTCTTGTTTAGAGAAATCACAGACATACCACTAACAAATCAGATGCAACAAATATTCTTGGACGCTGCCTTAATTCTTCCCCATCTTAATTGAAAACACATTTCTTTTCTAGTGTTTTTCTTAAATACCAGAAAAGTACCAAAATGGGTTGTGTTCAGTTTTACCTGGCAAGGGAAAGTCTGGATAAGATAAAAATCTCAAATATATCACATCCCCAGAAGATTCACTTTGGAAAATAAAAACTATCATACTATTAGCAATAATTGCACACTATGGTACTAAGGCAGTACGATTCCCTATTCCCTACCTTACTATATCATTATTGATAAGATAGCACAAACATAACAATTGAGTAACTGCTATTTATATCTTCCTATCTTTACATAAAGCTGTGAAATCTCTCTTCCTAGGGAATTCCCTTGGGATATATTCTCATTTGATCACCAGCCTAATATCTACTTCACAAGAATGCTTAAATAAAATATTTACAACTATAGATTATAATTTGCCACCCCTTCCATCCCATTTTTCTATTTTTCTTTTCTTTTCCAGTACCACTAAGTGTGTTCAGGCAGTAGAAACCAAAAATAAAACCAGCTGGGGGGAAAAAGATAAAATATGAATATAAGCTTCTTCAATAGATCACTAGAAGAATGCAGCAGGTGGAAAACAAGATTTTTTTTCCTTCCATTAAGTCATGTCCTTAAGAATGCAGAGTATATTGCCTACTCTGCATTCTTTGGGTCCCTGGCTGCTTCTGCATTTCAAACTTCTGGAATCTAATCTGTTTTAGGCGTTCTCCATATTTCTGCTCTCCCTGCCCTGCCAAAAAGGTCTCTTCCTGATGTTTGGGTCAAATATGATAAATGTATTATCACGTTTGACCCAAATCCTTATCTGGAAAGTACAATCATTGGCAAAAAGAAATTCTACACGGACAATGTCAACTGTATGAGAGCAGGTTTAAGATACTTGATTATGAGGAATTATGTTTTCTCTTCCTCCCAATCTCTCTCTCTCACTCATACATCCACAATTTTTTTAAATATTTAATTTTTATTTGTCGTATGGGTATACAAAAGGCTTTTAAGATAATTTATTTTACAGATAACTCCTTAAGTTTCCTCTGCCACTACAATCAAGTTCTAGCTTTTAAGTAGTAACCAATGAAAAGATAAACTTTATCAGCTATAAACACAGTAGCTACATCCATTGTAACTCCATTGCAAATTAGTAAACACTGCTAACACATATTGAAAAGGCCATAATGAAAAAAGACTCCTTTTCAATCAATGAGGATGATAAGCTTTCCCTTTGATATGAGGAAAGGCATGAAGACCACTAAACTAAGTAGAGGGAAGCTCCTATACTGTCTGCTGTTGGCTGTAGATACACATTCGTACAGTGAAGCAGCAGAGATGCCCTAAAGCTACTGTTTGATTTGTTTTTAAAATTTCACAAACCATAATGATTTCATGTTTGCTCACGTTTTAAAACAAATTAATATATTGTACCTGCCAAAACCATATTATTTGCTTGCTATTTCTTGTATAATGGCGATAAACAGTGTTCCTTTGCCAATCTGCCAAATCAACCTCTTGCATGCCACAGAGCATAACCTAGAAAAAAAGACCAAAATGTTTAGGGGAATAGCAACCTGACTTTCTGATATACAAACTATACATATTTCAATGAGCATTTCACAGAATGTGTTTGAGATCTGTCTGCTTGTTTATTTTTGCCTTAACTTAATTTGTACACAACTGTTGGCCTATTGCAAAGTTTTTAAAAATAGTACCTTCTTCCCAATAAAATTATAACACCTTAAAAGTCTCACCTCCAACTCCTTTTCATCAAAATACTGTAGCCACTGAAGGGGAACAACTTCATTAAATCCATCAAGGAAAGCTTTGGTTTGTTCTTGCACTCCTCTCGAAAACCGCCACTCGGCCATCAGGCTGAAATGAGTAAAAAAATTAAGTTCCAAAAGTGGAAGCATTTATGTTAAAACAGTGGGGGCTTTGCTACGCCATGCCAATTACATAGTGACATTTGAGAGATTCAAGCACTTTTATAACATCGTCCCTAGAGCACTCCTGCACATCTCACACCAATCCTATCATCTCGAATGCTTCCCTACTCAAATGTATTATATGTATCATTTATGGCTCCACAGACTGAACTCTCGCTATGACTGTGCCCTATTAAGCATTTTCAGAAGGAAAATCTGTCTTTTAAAAAGCTTTTACATTATACTCATGGCAGATGGTTATAGAAAATACTGCAGAGATTTAAGAAATATATCTTTATAATTATATGTACACATCTATTTACCCACATTTAGATTCTTCTGTATCATAAATGCACATACGTATATTAATATATTATTAATATTATAATTAATACAATTAATATGCAAGAGAGCTCACTTCAGACAAGTGACTCCAGCAGTTTTGGAGTAATTCACTATTCCCTCTAATCTCATCCTATACTTTTTGCATGAACCCCACAACCCAGGAAGAGGTTTTTGTGGTGTGAAAAAATTGTGGTGAACTGAGACAGGAACTGAAAGTCCCCTAAGCATTCTTCTTTCTACAGTTCTTAAAATCTTAAACCCTATATACTGAGAAAAGTCTAAAAAATAATAACAGAAGTACGAATTCCTATATACAATAATTAAGAGACTGGTATTATATTTTCATTTCCTTCATCACCATACCCAATGTATTCTTCTTTGTTCTCTTCAGTTACAAGTAAATTTGACCCTCCTGATTTCAACTCATGCGAGGTAACTTTCCCTAGTAGCTCCATGTCAACACAGAAATACATTTCCAAGTTACACTCTTCTATGTTGTTGTCCCTAAGAAGAAACATTAAGCAAAAGGTCAGCCAGACATATACTTCTTACTAATATGACTAAAAAAATGGTAAATATCTGAAAATATTTACAAACCTTATCCAAATTAAGGAATTATAAAATTCAGTATCTATAGATTCCAGGTCTTTTATTGTAAGTTTCTTATTTAGCATGCGCTTGTAGAATGGCAGGGAAAACCCTGTATCAATGAATTTGCCATGAAACAGTGCCTGTTGAGAATTTTTAAAAAATCAATGTGGTACATGATAAACAAAACACAGTTTTAAGTACATTGCTCTAAAAATATTATCTGCTGTTTAGAAGCATCCAAACAGAGTTTCAAAGAGAGAGAAAAGTCTAAAGATGACATAACAAAATCTCTAAACAATAAGTAAGAGGAAGTTACTCTATCTCTGCTTGTCACTGGGGGGCCACGGAGACACATTTTTAGAGTTAGGCACTGAATAGTAGAAGCTTTAGTGTCTACTGCAACCAGCATCTGTTTCTGGAGCAGTGCTCCTAGCCAAACTGGGGCTCTCCATTATCCTGACAGTGTGGCATGTTTCCAAAACATAAAAATACATAAACTGTACCATCAAAGGAAGGGGGAAAACAATATGCTGAGCTTCGGAACGTTCGCAAATTATGGCACCAGAAATGATTACAGAAATAACAGCACTGAAAAGATTTACATGGCTAGAGGACTAACAGTAAGGTTCAGTGGGAAGAAATGAAGCAAAAGTCCACTCCCTTCAGCATAATTACTAACGGTCGGAAGATATATTGAAGCAAAAGTGCATTTCATCATCTTACACTATCTCTAGGCATGCCAATCTCTCAGTGCTATCTTCCTGAAACATAGGACATACAAATAAATCTAAGCTATCTCCCCACTGGCTAATTATAAAACAAATGCAGACTGACTTGCCAAATGCAAAATTAAAGCAAGTTCATGTTAGAATAAACAGCCTTTTCCTCTTAAAGGTGCACTGCCTCAAGACAGAATCAGTGTCTTGTCTAATGAGGCCCTAAGGGTAGAGCAGGCACTGAAATAGAACTGTAGGTCTAGAAAGTTTCCAGACAAGGCTTTGCACAATGGTAGAACCCTTATATGGAAGCACAGAGATCTTTCTGAATTTGTTATGAAAATTTTAAGATTCCTTCAAATACAGATTAGACAGCCAATGCATGGATTCTTTACCAGGTTCCACTGACCGCAAAAAAACCAATCCTACTGATGGCTTAAACTAAACTAAACTTAGGTATACAATAAGAAATCAGTCAAAGATCTATTTACTGAGTATCTTCTGAGAAGTGTGCAGAGCTTAAATTTGACAAAGAGATTTAATAATGGTTGTTGTGGGTTTCTCGGGCTCTTTGGCCGTGTTCTGAAGGTTGTTCTTCCTAACGTTTCGCCAGTCTCTGTGGCTGGCATCTTCAGAGGACAGCACTCTGTGCTCTGGTGTAGTTGGCTTGGGAGATTTAATAATGCCTGCTAAATTAATGTTAGAGCTCTAGAGCTCCTAAGAAAAAGGAGGGGGCAAACTTAATTCAGTACTAAGATAGTTAAGTACTGTACAAAGGTATTGAAACCCAGCCTTTAAGAAGTTCATAAATCAGAATTTGGGTTCCAGGTGGTCAAGTGTACCCATTTTAATTTCCTGCCCATTATTTTTTTTTCAGTCTAAAGTTCTTTCAATCCTAAATGGGAAGAAATGTGCAGATTATGCTACCATCCTCATCCATTTCCTAACAACTACAAGTCTTTCAGAGAGGAGGGGTTATGCTACCATCCTCATCCATTTCCTAACGACTACAAGTCTTTCAGAGAGAAGGGGAGGAGGGGAGGTTTTAATGCGTTTCTATGGGCTTTTTTATTTCACATTACAACGTTTTCGTTCTACAGCAATTTTGCTGGAATGAATTAATGTCGTAATGCAAGGCACTGTAGTTTTTATTGATTAGAAGTCATATAGGCACTGTAGTCTCAGTAATGTCCCTTTTATATTCTGTAGTTTTTATTGATTAGAAGTCATATAGGCACTATAGTCTCAGTAATGTCCCTTTTAAATCTCTGATTTACAAGATTATTCTAGTCACTCTAAACAATATAATACATACTATAGTAATACATACTACAGTATGCTTGGCTACAGTCAATTGGGTTTATGGTGTGTTTTTAGTGGAGGCATAATGCATATGGTCTGTGGTTTCTCATATATGGTGGTGCTTCTGTGTCCATTATATAGTTGGCTCCATTTCATGATAAGGACTAGGGTCTCTTGCTCCAAATCCCTACAATAATAATTTCATCAATGTACCTCACACAGATAAAAACCGGGAGGGGGGGGAGAAAATGACAGAAAATTGTTTTAACTTAGCCATGAAGATGGTCATATATTGTAATCATGTGAGTAAGCATAGACAGAACAGAACATTGTTTTAACTCAGCCATGAAGACGGTCATATATTGTAATCATGTGAGTAAGATGGCATTGCTTTTCTTAGCATCCTATTGTTTTTAAAGTAGACATAAATTAGTCATGACCTTTTAGCTTACCCCACAGATAAAGTCTGCTTATCTCTGGATTTTTTTTTGTTGAACCAGCAAATATAAATTTTACTTTTGTTAGAACATTGTTTTAACTCAGCCATGAAGACGGTCATATATTGTAATCATGTGAGTAAGATGGCATTGCTTTTCTTAGCATCCTATTGTTTTTAAAGTAGACATAAATTAGTCATGACCTTTTAGCTTACCCCACAGATAAAGTCTGCTTATCTCTGGATTTTTTTTTGTTGAACCAGCAAATATAAATTTTACTTTTGTTTTTTAAATATTTTATTCTATCTCCTTGAATTCTAAATGATTTTGTATGTCACAAGAAAATTATGTTGTACCAGAAAGTAAAAGTTATGCCAAAATAACCACAAAATGTTTATCCTATAAAAATAATAATGTTCATATTTGAAATATATAGAAACATACTATTAATGCTAAAATGCATATGTATAAATCTTTATGTGGATTCCTCTCTCCCCCCCCACCCCAAATAAACACAAGTTAATACTGAAGCTGGATGGAACAGAGTTAGGAAGGAAAACAAGAAGTTCACATGGACTTAAAACTGTACATTCTTAATAGGATGGTCATCAGCCTCAAATATTCATTTATCAAATTCTGGCAAGGAAAATATCATTATAAACTATATCTCACAATCTTTCAGTTGATTGATATTATCCAAAGTACTATAAAATAAGCTTCTCTCTCTCTCTCTCTCTCTCTCTCTCTCTCTCTCTCTGCCCTTTTCATTAGTTTTTTTGTTAAAATTTTATATATTTTATAATAAACCCTCATAGTTCCAGATACATATTTGAACTAGGGATCTGCAAACACCATTTCAGCTGTTACTAGAATGCACTTTTAGTAAAGCCTATATTTGACTGATTTTTTCATCCCCTGCCCCACCTCCCGAATACTGACATTCACTGTAATACTTCCTTGGCTGATTGTCAAACAACGATAAACCCAGTACTGTACAATCTTTCAAAAAGTGACACAAATCAAGAAGAAAAGATCTAAATCCTAGGAATTCAGAAGCCCTTTTATGTGATCCTGTCTAAGAGAAAAAGGAAATGACCTTCCGCCCTGTTTTGCTGTTTGATTTCTACTGGTAATGGACTTCCTCTTTCTAATAGTAGCTGCCGTGTTGGCTTGAAGGTTTAGGTAGTTGAAACACCACAAGAAAGCATTAAGTTATATTAAGCTAGGTACAATTTTAGAAAAGCTTGCTTTTCTTGTCAGTTTTTATAACCCTTCTTAGCCTTCAAATTATTATTAGATATTATAATTCAATACTAAAAGTACAGTATTATAAATTATGGCATCATACTATACAGTATACATTCCAGTATATAAAACTGCCAAATCTTTCATAATAAAGGAAACATCTGGTATAAATTGGATACAGAACTGGTCATGATTATCTTTTATGTCTTGCTCCAGTATAATGTTAGAAGAAAGCTATGAGAGAATTTCACATACAGTATTTGTCTTTTTATATACTAGTCATGTATATACTATTATAGATCATGATTACAGAAATTATCTTTGAAAAAACAGGAATACTCCTATCCTCTGTCCTCAAAACAAGGCCTGCTAATCACCCTTGCTGTGTGAATGTATGTGACCACTCAAAGAAGAAAACAAGGTTGCTTACCTGGAACTGTTGTTCTTCGAGAGTGGGTCACATACATTCATAGTCCCTCCCACCTCCCCTGTAGAAGTCTCTCTGAGGGCTTTTCTACAGCTTGTAATGCTTGACTCCCACTCTGGTGCTGAAATTGGAAAATCAACTGTGAGCAGTGACTAGGACCAGGTTGATCGTGACCCCCCAGAAGGCTCCCCACCACTATGCAAACAACACTCTTTTTTTTAAAGGAAGAGAAAGCTTTCCTCCCCATGGCTCTTGCAGTTTCCCATCCAATGATGAAGACACAGTGGTACCCCGCTTGACGCTGAAATCGCTTCATGACGATGTTTTTGCAATCGCTATTGTGATTGCAAAATGATGTTTCAAAGGGCAATTTTCGTTTTACGACAATAGGTTCCCTGCTTCGGGAACTGATTCTTCGCATTACGACAATCTAAAAACAGCTGATCGTCGGTTTTCAAAATGGCCGCCCACTGTGCAAAATGGCTCCCCGCTGTGATTAGGATGGATTTTTCGTTTAACAGGCACCGGAAAATGGCCGCCCTTATGGAGGATCTTCACTGGACAATTAGGTATTTAGTCCATTCGAACGCATTGAGTGGACACTTAGGTATTTAGCCCATTGGAACGCAATGCGTTCCAATGGTTT